GATAATCCTTACTATACAGAGACATTATTTCCCTGCACTGTGCTTACAGGAAATCTAATAAGGTAATACTCCCTATCTACCATTAGATAAGAAATCAGAAATTACTTCCTGCTGGCAGGATTGCATTTCAACTCCGAGAAAACAGGCATTTTTTCCCACTACTGCAAGAAGTTTTTCTGAAGAATTAAATCTCACATTAAGTGGTGATATGAATCCTACTTTAAAAATGGATTTACAGAATTTACATAAGAGGAACCACCATCATTTGGCTTTCCATTACTGTTGTTTAATACCCTAGTTGTTGTGCGTGCAGAGAGAACTATTGTACTGGCTTAACAAGGTAACACTACCAAAGAAGGAAATTAACATACAGTCCAAAAAAAAAAAAACCCCCCAAAAACCCATTTAAATAAAAATACATGGCACTATAATCCCTACATAAACATGGAGTGGTTATGGTGCCCAGGCTGCTCCATTGCTTAAATCATGCATGAATAACAATTCAATATTATTCATTAATAAACTAAAAAACTAAAACAAAATAAAATGTTTTTAGTAAAATAAAATATATATATATATATATATTTGACCTCACACAAATTTTTCTAGATTTGTATTCTACCTCACATTGTAAATCATTGAACTTAAAGCATTCATGTTTATAAAATCAGAAAAGAAAATCTTTGTGGATTGTGAATGTAGATTTAAATCTCTGGCCCACATTCTAGTTATTAAATACACCAATATAGTTCCTGTTCTGTTAATCTGCAAGCATTGCTAACTGAACTGACATCTTAGTGGTGCTAAAAATGTTCAAGAACAAAGAATAGCAGAATACCTACGTGGTAGTGAAAGAATAGTAACACCTGTGGATTTATAAAACAAATACATCGTCATCACTCTAGAAAGATTGCATCTCTACAGGTTCTATTAATAGGATACCCTAACCATAGAGCTGGCACTAAAAGATTAAAAAAACAAAATATTCAGGACTGTTCTATGTTAACATAGAACAAGACACACAATGGACCTCACAATCTAGTCTCTAAAGTACTGCTTTTTTAAAACACACAAAATATAAAAATTCAAACAGAAACTCGACATGTTAACCAGAAGGTGTTTGAGATCTGGAGGTCTGGTATTTGACTGCCCCAGTTTCTGATTAGAATCGGCAAACTGTCACAGTTATAGATATTGGTTTGTAAAATGCAGACCCTGTTCACTGAACCATATCATACCTGCTGCTTGTTGCCTCTTCGTGTGAGCATGACAAATGGCATAGTATCACTAGACTCTGTATCTCCTTCCCCAGTACAGAGTGAAGTTCCTTTCTTTAGCTGGCTCTTCAAGTGCAATGGGATTGCCACGTCTAATTGGTGGACTTTAACAGACTCTCCACTGCGTTGCTGGGATGGAAAAAAAAAATATTATTAAGTAAAGTTTCCAGTTATAGCAGTATTTTAGTTTTTCATGAAAGCCCTTCCACGGTTATCATATGTCACATTAATATACGTAATGGGCAATGTATAGGTAAAAAGAAGTTCTTTGATGAATCCTTTCTTGGTTGTCCATTTAGCTAAACATTTAATTAGAAATAGATATCTGGAAACTATGCAACTGATGTGGATTGATTGCTGATGATATCATTAGCATCATTAACACGTTACTGCAGTTTTCAATGTCAAGATCTTTTAATGGAGTTGTCCAAGTGGTCAGAGAAAGCAGAGACCAGTAACAATTTCCAAAAATACTTGCAAGGGAGCAACCTTAGTCTTGGCATGTCTAGAACACAGTTACCTCGTAGGTTCATATACAGGGAATCATATTGAGGGAACACACTATAATATACTGTTATAAACCTGCATTATACATCAACAAGTCCGCAGAAACATAATCAAGCTATTGATGTCTATCGGCAGAACATGCAGAGGCCAATGAAGGTCCTAACTGCTGCGAGACTGGTCTAGAACAAGGGGTTGAAAATGCTGCATGTCCAACACTCCAAACACCATAGCCACTGCTGTGCAGTGTGGTGGTTATGATGCCAGGTGGAACGCCTTCGTAAGAAGACAAACGGTTTTAGATTGTTTGAGGTCTTATGTGGGGTCCATCAGGTGCAGCTAACAGCCTCCATTACAGCTATAAAAGAGCCAGAAGCACTCTGCCTGACCCAAGCCTGGCTGTGCTGAGCCAATGAGCTGGTGCTAAACTGCAGGGATTAGCTACGTAAACTAAAGGAAGCTTGTAAGCAGGAGCTTCCAGCTCTCCTGCAGCCATAACAGAGGTTCTAGAGAATAAGTAAACTACGTACAATGGGAGAAGCCAGGGCACGCATGGCCCTATAACAACTATAACGCACTGTAGTAGTTATGGTGTTTGGAGTGTTCCTTTAACTAACTGAACATTAACAAATGTTATTTTTTTTTTTATAAATTCTTTATTTAAAGAGATTTAAGTACGTATATGGGATACAGAAAAAAGAAAAGGGCATGGGGAACAGCAGAACAGAGTGCATCTCATCTACCCATATTCTCTATAGTGGCCGACTGTGCCTAGGTTCACTTGCATCCCCCTCGCTTCATGCTGGCGGTCTGAGGTACATCTAGTTGCAGTCTCTGGAGGGGCCAGCGTATAAGTATTCTCAGGTATACAAAAAAACTTAAAAAAACTTTGTGGTGTAGCGCTATATTTAAATAGAAGGGTAGTGATAAAAACTAGGTATATATCGATACTACCTTGAAATTCCTTATGTCTTTATATTCACATAAGAGTATAAATTCTACAAGACATAAAAAACAGACAAACCAAACATAGTGCAAACTGTATAATAAAGTCCGTTATAGAGAATAAGGAAGGGAAAATTTCCCACTCACAATTTTAGGAGCTAATATGAAATAGCTCAATATCTGCGCTCTTGGGGTCCGTAAAGGCGACCCTCTCCCTTCTTGTGTATAGATCTCCTTGGTTTCCTATAGAAGTAGAAACCGTATATGGTGCAGTATCGTAATAATTATCAATGTGAGATAAATATAAAATGTAATACCCACAAAATTAGAGCCATCCAGATCGGCTCTAATCCACACACTTGTGTAGTTGAGGACTACACACCTTCTTTGTGAAAAATGAATAAGAAGTAGCAGGGAAATGCCAATATATAGTATAAAATGTAAATAATTTTATTATAACGGTAATTGTATAAAAATATATATATATATATAAAAAACAATATCAAATTGGCATAAAATCCAAAAGTCCAAAGTCTCACAGTCTCTCCAGTACGCGTTTCGCCCTACAGGCTTCCTCAGCTGGATGTGGTGATTCAAACTTCCCATGGATTCTCCCTGCTATATGTACCCCTCTCAGGGGTGAGATAATTAGTGTCCAGGCTTGTATTTTCGCGGGCAATCACCATAGAAACGGTGACGCCCTGCGTTTAAAGCCTTTTTTCTATTCATTTCCGGGTTTTCTGTTCCGTTGCGTCACTTCCGGTTTCGCCGATACGTCACTTCCTTGCGTTCCACCATGCGGTTCACTGTGCGTTCCACCATGCGGTTCACCATTTATTTCCCCAGGATTTCCGGGTCGGCGGTTTTTGAAGGGAAATATAAGTTCAAATGAATTTAACATATCTGTGGAATTGGCAAGCTTTCTTTGTCTAACATATACAAGCCTTATATTGGTACATCCATACCCTTAATAATTAAATTTCATTCTGTAGTGTTTTTTTTCCTCTATTCCTATTTCTTGTATAAGTGTATTTTACAGGCATATTGTGATCTTATGTCATTATTAAAAAGATGAATTCTTAAGAGATAATGGGTATTAATAAATGAATCAGTGGTTATACAATTAAAACACCTTATAAATGTCTAATTCTAGATATTATAAAAGTTGAAACATAATTCAGTCAATGCCCACATAGTAAAAAAAGTGATAAAGCAATAAAGGGAGGTATGCGTGCAACCATAAAAAATTTTGCATTTATTTTAAAAAATGGCACATCTCAAAGTCCGTATTTAGACCATTCGGGATTAAAGTATTTAATTTAAAAATCCACTCCATCTCTATTTTACTCATTTTGCTATCAAAGTTGCCTCCCCTCCAATCCTTTTTGACTTTTATAATTCCTAAAAACGTAGTGTCTTTCATATCGCATTTATGTGCAATTTTGTAGTGTAAAGAGACGCTATGTTTTTCAAAACCTTTTAAAATATTACGACTATGTTCTTCAATTCTGATATGTAGGGGTCTGGTGGTTTTCCCTATATAACATAGACCACAAGGGCAGGTCATTAAGTAAATGAGGTTTTTTGAGTGGCAACTCAGAAAATCTTTAATTTGATATTCTTTACCATCTTTATCTTTAAAAAGCTTTATATGTCTTTTTTTATTATTTGACCTTTTGCACGCTAAGCATTGGCCACACCCAAAAAATCCCTTATCCGAATTTAAAAAAGTATTCGTACTTTTCTTTTCCTTTAAAAAGCTTGAAGTCAGAGAATGGCGTAAATTGTCAACCCCTCTGTGTATAAATTTAGGTCTTTCTGGAAGAAAAGGTTTTACACCAGGATCTTGTAATAAAATTGGCCAGAACTTAGAGATTATTTTTCTTACTTTTTTGTTATCTGTGCTGAAATTGCATATAAAAGGGAGTTCCATAAATGTATTTTCCCTTTTATCCTTATATTTCAAAAGTTTCTCTCTTTCTATCATTCTTACTTCTTTCCTGGCCATTTCTAATTTTAACTCTTCATATCCTTTCTCTATAAAATCTTCTTTAATTTTAATAGACACATAATCCGAGTAACGAGATGAACCAAGTATTTCAAAGTTTTTTTAAAAAAGGGATAGAGTTAGAAATCTTAAACGAAAAAGAATACAACTATTCAAATATGAAATATCCTAAAATCCCAGTGTTCTATTTCCTCCCCAAGGTTCATAAAGACATTGTGAATCCCCCAGGCCGACCAATAGTGGCAGGGATTGATTCAATATCTAGCAGATTGTCGCATTATGTAGATATTCATCTCCAACCATTAGTAAAAAAGACTACCTCATATATTAAAGATACCATTATGGTTTTAAATCTTTTGGAAAATTGCACTTGGAATAGTGACTGCTTTTTAGTTACAAGTGATGTTGCAGCTCTCTATAGTAACATCCCACACCAATATGGTTGTAATGCTGTTAAACATTTTTTAAGTGAAAGTCCAGATTTTACAGATAGCAAAACTAAATATATCTTAGAAGGGATTGAGTTAATTTTAAATAACAATTATTTTTGGTATGGAGAGGACTTCTACCTCCAGATTAATGGGACGGCCATGGGAACCAAGTTTGCCCCCAGCTATGCCAATTTATTCATGGCCCATTGGGAGAATACGTTTATTTATGGCACTCATGGCTGGGGAGAAAGCTTGGTTACCTATGGTCGTTACATTGACGATATTTTCTTTGTATGGAAAGGAGAAGAAAAAGATCTTATTGAATTTTTAAATTTTTTAAATGAGAATACCTGGGGCATAACGCTCAGTAGCAATTGGAGCAAGACGGAAATAATTTTCTTAGATCTAGTGATATACATTGAAGAAAACAAGATTAAAACTAGAAACTATTTTAAGACGGTAGAAGCTAATAGCTACATAGAGAGAGAAAGCTGCCACTACTCTCCGTGGCTTGAGAATGCCCCCAGAGGACAGTTTCTACGTATTAGGCGTAACTGTACGGATCCAACTGTATTTGAGACCCAATCTATTAAAATTAAAGAAGATTTTATAGAGAAAGGATATGAAGAGTTAAAATTAGAAATGGCCAGGAAAGAAGTAAGAATGATAGAAAGAGAGAAACTTTTGAAATATAAGGATAAAAGGGAAAATACATTTATGGAACTCCCTTTTATATGCAATTTCAGCACAGATAACAAAAAAGTAAGAAAAATAATCTCTAAGTTCTGGCCAATTTTATTACAAGATCCTGGTGTAAAACCTTTTCTTCCAGAAAGACCTAAATTTATACACAGAGGGGTTGACAATTTACGCCATTCTCTGACTTCAAGCTTTTTAAAGGAAAAGAAAAGTACGAATACTTTTTTAAATTCGGATAAGGGATTTTTTGGGTGTGGCCAATGCTTAGCGTGCAAAAGGTCAAATAATAAAAAAAGACATATAAAGCTTTTTAAAGATAAAGATGGTAAAGAATATCAAATTAAAGATTTTCTGAGTTGCCACTCAAAAAACCTTATTTACTTAATGATCTGCCCTTGTGGTCTATGTTATATAGGGAAAACCACCAGACCCCTACATATCAGAATTGAAGAACATAGTCGTAATATTTTAAAAGGTTTTGAAAAACATAGCGTCTCTTTACACTACAAAATTGCACATAAATGCGACATGAAAGACACTACGTTTTTAGGAATTATAAAAGTCAAAAAGGATTGGAGGGGAGGCAACTTTGGTAGCAAAATGAGTAAAATAGAGATGGAGTGGATTTTTAAATTAAATACTTTAATCCCGAATGGTCTAAATGCGGACTTTGAGATGTGCCATTTTTTAAAATAAATGCAAAATTTTTTTATGGTTGCACGCATACCTCCCTTTATTGCTTTATCACTTTTTTTACTATGTGAGCATTGACTGAATTAT